CGGCTGCGCTCGTGTGCGGGCACGCCGGTGGCAGCGCTCTCCTCAGCACGCGCCTTGGCGCTGTGGGCTTAGGCAGAACGCAGAGCGCTACCAGGTACCTGGTAAAGCGCTGCCAGGTTTTCTTCTTTACAGCCGAGGCGCCGGAGAGCGAACGGAGAGTGTCCAGTTCATCCCGTCTCCAGGATGCCCCTTCGACACCTCTGCCTGAGCATCGTGGCCTGGCGGCCTCCTGCTTCCGGAGCGTCTCCGCTGGCTTCGGGAGCGGGGGGTGACCTTAGCTTTTATCTGTTCGTCTACAAGAAGGCCAAGCATTCCTCTTCAGCTCTGGCTTTCTCATCTCTTGGCTGCCTTTGCTCCCTCTGGTGTTAATACGCTTTGGAGAGTTTTACATCAGTGTTTTGCCTAAGACCTAGGCTTGCAGCGCCAACAGACTCTGCTCCAGTGAGGAGAGGACTTGGGTTTAATGCAAAACGTCTCCTCCGAGCAGTCCCTTGCAGGGCAGGCAGGAGTGGTGCTAGGGAGGTCTTCTGAAACTGTGAGCGCTTTCCTTCTCTGTGCGTAGGCAGCTGGTGTTATCTGGCAGACAATACTGGGCTTTTTTTGTTTTCCCCGCAATATTGTTTCCTTTTGTGTCCCCAGAACTGTAACGTAGCCGGGAGAGACGTGGTGCCAGTTGTGAACTGGGGCAGGGAGGGATGCGGTGCCAGCTGTGAACAAGGAGACCCAAGGGGAACAAGGAGCAGCACGAGGAGAAAGAAGCAACTCGCCCCGCTGCTTTCACACCGTCTCTGACCGTGCGAATTTAAATCTTCTGTTTCTGATTAATTTCTAGGATCATGGAGGAGGAAGAAGCAGCCATAGGAGGGTATGAAGATGTAAGGCACTCCGATGTCTCCACGGATCTGTACAGCTCGCAGTTCGAAAACATTCTGGACAACGCGTCCTTATATTACAGCGCAGAGTCCCTGGAGACCCTGTATTCAGAGCCTGACAGCTACTTCAGCTTCGAAATGCCCCTCACTCCAATGATCCAGCAACGCATGAAGGAAGGCGGCCAGTTCTTGGACAGGACTTCAGCCTCGGGACAGCAAGAGGTCTTTAAGCTTCCCCCTGAAGGGGAAACGAGGAGTCGCCACGAAGCGATCTCCAATGGCCTAAGGGGTGTGAGTGAAACACTCTTCAAAGGAGACGTCACAGAGGTTCCTCACTTGGACAGGTAAAGATAGTCGATGAACTTTGTGTGTTTATTTTTTTCCAATGCCCATTTATTTCAGTGAACTGTCATAACATTGGTTTGATGCTTTAACACTGCATGTTCCCTAAACAGAATAATTCCAGTGTAACATAACGAGCTGAAGACAGCAATCCAAACCCGTATTTTATTAGAAAAACTCATGTTTGCTTTACGAAAGTACTGTAGGTCTCTGCATAAAACTTGTACAAATGAAAGGCTGGGCTGTATTGCAACACCCCTAGGATCCCTCTCTTGAACAGTTAATCTTCTGCTACAGATGAAGATTTGTTCATCTGCAGTTATGCTTAAGTCTACTAAAAGCAGGGTTAGGAAAAATAAAAGTCCTGTTTCGAAATGCAGCTCTTCATCTGGATACTGAAGTTATTTACTCAGGACGAGAACTTACTCCTGTTATGTCCATGGGTTTAGAGATTGTTAGATATTTGTTTCCTTTATGTGCAAATGACTGATGGAAAGAAAATGCAGTACTACAAAAACAGCATTATTTCCTATCTAGTAAAAGGAGAAGCAGGGAAACCTGATGGGAGAAGAGTCACATCACAAGCAAAAACTTGCTAAGTGGTCAGGAAACATATTCATAGAAACTCATTTTATGGGAAAACTTTCCTGAGTATGTGTTGGCCAAGAGCTACCAGGGCACCAACGCACAAAGTGGGAGATGGAGCCAGAAGTGGCCACGTGTTGAGAGGTGAGGGACCTCGTGAGTGTTGGGGATACCTTGAGTCTCCATCCTCCATGGATAAGGACGTTAGCTAAGACAGGACTGCCCTAGTCCGAGCTTTCTTGGACGTACGTGTTGGGAGGCTTTTGATCCGTTTTGTTCCTTTCATGTCAGTGTAAAATGAATCTTCTGAGGCAAAGTAGGCCAAGTAGTTACCTTCATGGGGTAAGATACAGCTTACTCCTAAAAAAGCAGGCAAAAGCACTCAATGGTTGTTCTAGTGCTTCTTTCTGTCATTCCCATGGAAAATAAGTGCTTGAATCTTGTGCAGCTCTTAGCTGTTCAATACTCACAGGCATGAAGTATGAAATGCTCATGTGCTGCAGCCAACATGGAGGCAGAAACTGAGGTGAACCTTTGTAGCTCCTGTTGTCACTGAATGCCCAGTATTTCCGTGGGACTGAGCTGGGGGCAGATGCACAGCACGTGCAGACCCCGATCCGCTGCCCCATGGTGTGGTCTCTAGTGTCTGTCAGCGTGAAAGCTGCTGCTAGGTAGGGCCTGCGTCAGCTGGGCAAGACACACGTCGTCGTGAAGGAAAGTGGAGCTGGATAATGCTTGAAAATATGCTAGGTATCTACCTAATGCAGATCAGGAGTTAAGCTCGTTTCAGCTTGGGTTTGCAGACGTAGTGAAATAACAACAGCTTTTTTCTCTCTTTTTTTTTTTGCCTTTTTCTTTTTTTTGAGTTCTCCTTTCTCCTCGTAACGGAAGGGAAGGAAGAAGTGTCCCCAGCGGCGGGATAGCTGCGAGTTGCTGCCGTGGCTGTTGGCAGTTCCCTATTAAGGCCGGGTCCCGGGAGGCTGCACAGTCGTGGAGTTACAGCTGGGGCTGCATGGGATGTTGGTGTGGAGGGGTCCAGACTGCATTGCTGCGGGACCCCGTCGTCCCAGGAGTAGATGCCGGAACTGCAGACATGATTCCTACGGATTTGGGAGTGTGCTTGTGCAGCCTGAAGCAACCCCAGACTCTTTTCTTCTCTTTTTTTCCAGCCAAATATGTGCATGCTTTCTGCGCTACAGCCACCACAGCTCCTTTTGCGCCTCCTGTCGCGCGACCTTGTTTCCCCAGCGCTGCCAGACGTGAGTCGTGCGGGGGCTGTGGTTTGATATCGGGCACGTCTGCCTGGCACTGAGAGCGTATCGGGAGAGGGGATAACCGGAGACGGGATACCAGAGAAGGAGACCCCAGAGGAGGGGATACCAGAAGAGACAGTGTCAGGAGAGGGGACACCAGAAGGCTTTCGTTGCACTTGGACCACCTTACCCTGCAAGTGAGGTCGGGGCATCCCACTCCTGCCCTGTCAAGCCTCCTGCTTTTCCTGCATCCTGTGGGATATGTTAAGCCACGGGCAGGATTTAGTGTCCGCTGCTGCTTGCAGTGCTCGCTGAGGCCACTGGAGGTCTCTCCCTGGATCCCGGAGCTGCCTGCAGCTCCCTGCGCTGGGAAGGATCCTGGAAGCACATCCACAGTGGAGAGCAGCAGTGAGGATCTGGCTCTGCAGGCTGGAGCGGGGCGAGCATGAAGGGAGCTTGTGAGGAAGGGGGCATCTTCGCAAGGCTGCAGTGCAATGGGTTTACAAAAGCCCGCCCCTTTCCTCAGAAACTTCACATCTAGCTACACTAAGCCAAAAAATGACACCAGGAGCCCAGCAGCTCCCTGCGTATTGGTGTGTCAGGGCCGTAAGGCGCATGTGGGGAAGGGTGTTTGGGGAAGCACAGCTGCAGGCAGCGGGGACAGTTCGTTTTCAGGCTGAAATCACTCACAGCTCGTTTTTTGGTGCCGGGCAGAAGCAGAGAGGCAGATGTGAAAGCCAAGAGTCCGTAGCACCTGGAAAAGAGAGCAGACATCTGCTAGGAAGGGGAGCAGGCCAGGCCACAGGTTCGCAGGCACGGGCCTCCCGTATCCCTCCGGATGCTGCAGCGTCTCCTGCATCTCTCTGGAAGGAGCCCTCGCATAAGTGGCACATGGACCCTAGATGGCGTGAGGTTTTAGTGAATAACACCGAAACCCAATCTTCCAGTGAATAAGCAGGAGGGTAACATCCTTCCCCGCTCTGAGGAAATCACTGGCTCTGGGAGGGGTCAGCCCTGGTATGTGAAGGCCGGTCACATGTCTCTGCAACTGAAGAAAAGGGAAAAGTTAAGCGATCAGCGGCTTGCCGGCGGCGCGTTCCCAAGGGCTCCGCCGTGTCCGGATATTCCGTCCCTGCTGTCCTATCAGCTGCCGGCCCTGGCTGATGCAGTAAGTCCTAACGCAGCCCGTGCAGGCGCTTTCCAGAAGAGGGAGAGCCCTGGGGGGTGTCAGAGGTGCCTTTCCCGGGGGGTCTTCACGCAGCTTTATGGAGCAGCTTCCTGCAAGGTGCTCTCGAGGCCCCAGGGCAGCGAGTGGCTGTCGTGGCCGCTCATCCCAGCGGGATGAAGCGGCTCCCGCGCCGCAGGGTCCCACTCGCCAAGTGTGTGTCCAAGCGCAGCGTGAAGTTCCCTCCCCGATGATTTCCTGCTTCTTCTTCTGCTTTCACACGGAGTTTCAGTTAATCTTTTTTTTTTTTTCTGCATTCTTCAGAGTTCCCTTCCTCTGAGCACGAGCAAGAAAGGGGAAAAAAACCCACCAACAAGCCCCAAGCTGTGGCATTTCCCCTCCTGAGTGATCTTGGGAGGTGTGGTCCCTGTCTGAACAACACAGCCAGAATTAGTAAAATCGGGAGGGAAAGGAGGAAAAGTGCACTGCAGCTGTTAATCCACAAATACGCAAAATATTTGCCACCTGCCATCATCTTAAAAGTGCTGCTGGTGCTCTGCAAATTCTGGTCATGTTACTTTATGGCTTGGGCTTCTTAAAATCCCATGGTAATGGAACATAGGCCGTTTTGTGTCTTCTGCATATTGCTGCTTTTCCAGTGTTTCTTTCTGCTGGCACTCTGCTTTCAGTACCTATGTGTTGGTAGATAAAGCCAGTTTAAACATGGTCTGATTCTCCTCCTATTTTATCAGTACTGTGCATAATATGTGTCAGTCATAATTTTGGTTTTCGTTTGGCATTTTGTTTTTTTGTCCAGGCTAGACCCCCCCCCACACACACACATTTTCAGCATGGGTATATGACTGTGATACTTGTGTATTTAACGTGTAGCCTTTTTCAGTAGTTCTGTCACTCTGTGCACCGACAGCCCCATGTGTTTGCTAGGATTTTTTTCCCTCCTTTTCAAAACTCCACGTGCTGTGCAAGCTTGGTGAGGGTTTGTACAACTGCGCCTAGCTCCTAAATAACCTGTTGTTTCAGAAAAAGGGGTCGCTGACTCTTGGCCCCTTCAGTTCCCAGCCTCTTCCAGAAGCAAAGCAAATAAAACGAAAATCCAGGAGGTGACAGGGGCAAAAAAAAAAACCCCAAGCAGTGAGGAGGAGGAGCACACAAAATGCCCCCTGGTAGTGCAGCTGCGTGCGCTGTGGGAGGTCTTTTTGTTTTCTGGTTTATCGCTGAGCTTTGTTTCTTTTTAGTATTATTATTATTATTATTATTATTATTATTATTATTATTAACCATCCCTTTATTATTATTATTATTATTATTATTATTAACCATCCCTTCTGGAAGGGGCACTTTGGCGCAAGCCACCTTGGCGGGAGGCCTCGTATGACCTCCATGGGCACCAGGAGCCTCAGTGTGACCTCCATGGTCACTGGGAGGCCTCGTGTGCAACTGGGAGGCCTCCGTGTGTCCTCCATGGGTACCGGGCGGCCTCAGTGTGCCTCCATGGGTGCTGGGAGGCCTCGTGAGTGATTCCATGGGTGCCGGGAGCCCTCACGTCTCATTCCATGGGCGCCGGGAGGCCTCCGTGTGACCTTCATGGGTGCTGGGAGGCCTCTGCCTGACCTCCTTGGGTGCCAGGAGGCCTCACGTGCGACTCCCATGGGTACTGGGCAGCCTCTGTGTGGCCTCCGTGGGCGCTGGGAGGCCTCGCGTGTGATTCCATGGGCGCTGGGAGGCCTCACGTCTCATTCTGTGGGCACCAGCGAGGCCTCTCGCGTGGCTTTGGCGGTCCTTGCGCGGCTCGGCCGCCGCCGGGCACGCTGAGGAGAGCATCGCCCTTTCCGGGCCTCCTCCTCAGCACGCGGGGTCTCTCTCCTCGCCACGGCGGTGTGTGAGGGATCCCGAGGCCCAAAGGGGACGGATCCGGGGTGTTGTCGGCAGCGGGACGCGGTGTCCTCGTGCCGTAATCGCATAAAGGCAGGATTGGGACCCGCCGGGAATGGCGTTTCGTGCACATTTTAGCTGCTGGCTCCCTACCTACGGCCTGTGGGGATTCTTTTAATCAAAGAGAAAGGAATGTGATTGCAGGGAGCAAGAGGTTATTGTAGCAGCAGTTTCAGTCCCTGAAGATGACTCTATGCCTGTATTTTATTGACAGCAAATGAGAGATTGTGTTGTTTTGATGTTTTTTTTTCCCTTTTTGTGAAGTGATAAGGTTGGACAGAGAGTGCTATTTACGCAAAAAAAAAAAAAAAAAAAAAAAAAAAAAAAAAAAAACAGGGGGGCGGCGCAAACCCGTGCAGAACAACAGGAGCAGCGCAGCACTGCCCAAGTCTGCGTCACCCCGCACCCCTCTCCTCCCAAACGTTTGCTGAAGAGATGGATTGCATCCCGATGCTTAAGGCACCCGGAGTGGGAAGTGCTCGTGCTCAGCTCTCCAGCTGCAGTGCAGTCAAGTGGGGAGCGGGGCTTGTGCGAGATCAGGTGCACCTTGATCCCTGCCTCTAGGTTATTGGTCTTGGGTCTGTTCTCCCAACGTGCGTTCTTGTACAAGGTTTCAATTTTGACAAATAACACCAAAAAAACACCCCCAGAAGTTAAAGAGTTCTTAAGCAGAGCAAGTGTGTTATGTTCCTGAGCACAGCGCGGTTGAGATGCCTTGGCACCGGGGCTTCCCGCATCACCATCGGCCTGGTAAACACCAGAATCAGTGAAAATTGGTATAAAACATTTCAGGCCCTTCCTGGCTGCTCTTGCCAAGGGCAGAAGTGGCGTTTCCCGCACCAGTGGAAGCAGCGGGAGCTGTTTTTTTGGTTATTTTTCTAGGGTCCCTGTTGGACTTCCCAGCGCTTCTGGGGTTGTATTTACAACACTAATCCCAGGGCTGTGAGCGCCTCCATCATAGCTCCTTGCTATTTACCCTGGAATAGGTGCCGCAGCAGGTGTTGGCGGGGTCGCGGTGATCCGTGCGGGATGTGGCTTTCCTGGGGCTGCGGCTCCCTGCGCACCTGCGGGTGCCTTGGTGGACGAGGCGGGGGGATGTGCTGGAGAGAGCTGCTGAGGA